CCGTTGTCATTTGAGTTACCTCCATTCATCCCTGAACAATTCGAGCCACTACAGTAAGAGCCCCCTCCCCCGCCTGCTTGGTTTGAGTGTGTGCCGCTACCTCCCCCAGAGTATCCACCACCTCCTCCTGATGCACCATTATCTTCCGATCCCCCTCCGCCACCGCCAAACCCTCCTACGGCCCCAGGGGGAGGCCCTCCGTTGTAGCCACTATTCATTCTTCCAGCACGTCCACCTACCCAGCCCTGAGCACGCGATCCACCCCTTTCACCATGGTCAGACCCGGCCCTGGAACAACCTTGGCCTAACCATCCCGCACCCACACCTCCATGGTAACTAGCACCTGCACTGTTACACTGACCAGGATTCCCTCCAGTTCCTCCGCTACGAACCTGACTTGAATCTCTTCCAACGCTACTGGTGCCGCTAGTACCCGCCTGACCATCCACCCCGTTATACCCGCTAGATGCACCCCCTCCTCCTCCAGCAGCTAACAAAAGCACGTTACTTGTTGTATAAATAAAGCTCCCTCCGCCTCCCCCAGTTCCAGCATTGTCCTCTACGGACAGCCCCAGCTGAGCTGCTGTCAAGGTAGTGGACTGTCCATCTTTTACCTCCACTGAATCTCCTCCTCTTTGTCCCACCACAATCTTCAGTACAGTTCCTTTACTCAAGGTAAACGTGCCCTCTTTGTATGCACCTTTTCCACCGTAGTAAGTTCCGGGATAATTACCATAGTTTGTGGAGTGCGTTCCTCCTCGTGCTCCCCAGGCTCTGATTCGATAGCGAGTGGTTTTTGGCACTCTGAAAGTCTGAATGCTGCCGGAACGCCCTTGTCCATTCGTTGTAAACGACCAATGAGCTGACAATGAAAATGTAATACAGTCAACTCTCGCTAAGTCGGACACCTCTGGGGCCGATACTAAGTGTCCGTCTTAGGGAGATATCCGTCTTGTAGAGAGTCAAATAAAAGGAGTAAAGAAAGGCAGGGACCAACTCTAGGTGTCCGTTTTACAGAGGTGTCCGTCTTATAGAGGTGTCCGTTTAGAGAGAGTCGACTGTATCTTAGTTTTGATAAACAGATCGAGCAAATATGTAAATCTGCTTTTCACTCAATTAGATCAATTTAAAGAATTAAAAAGTTTCTTAGTATGGAAACCGCTAAGACTTTGGTGCACGCTTTTGTGACTTCTAAGTTAATTAGATAATTGTGACGCACTCTTGTATGGCCTTCCTAAGTATAAGATCCGGCGCCTGCAATACGTGTTGAACTCTGCCGCTAGGCTAATTACACTGTCTAGGAAGAATGATCATATATCACCAATACTAATGGAGCTTCATTGGTTGCCAGTTGAGCAGCGCGTAGAATTTAAGATCTTGTTATTTATACATATAAAGTGGTGAATGGTATGGCACCTGTTTATCTCCAGGATCTATTAGACCTTTATAGGTCTTGCCGTAGCCTTAGATCAGGAAACATGCAGCTTCTGAAAACACAATCTTGTAATTTAAAATGGACGGGTTCAGGGCATTTTCTATAAGTGCTCCTCAGCTTTGGAATGCCCTTCCACGGGAGCTAAGAGTGTGCGATTCTTCAGGCAGTTTTAAGAAATCTCTGAAGAAGTTTCTTTTCAAAAAGGCTTATTGTTGAGTAAAACTAAGACAAACCTTTTTATGAACGTATGTAAGAGACTGGTCCCAAGATTTTGAGAATAAGTTATATTTTATTTTTTAAGGCAAATTTCAATTCTCCAATAAAGTGAAGCGCTTGTGGACTCTTAAGGAATAAGCGCTAAATAAATAAATTATTATTATTATTTAATTCATACATGAAGAAATTTCTTGAACCTGATTGGCTGAGAGCAGTGCACTTTTTAGTAAACAGAAAACAGTGCAAAAAAACGAGGAAACATAGTGCAAACAGAAGGAAATATAATGCAAATTTCTTGGAGAAAGGAAAACTTTGACTGGCTGACAATAGCAATATATAATAACCACTCAGCTACTGCAATCTGCTGGTATCCAAAGCTTCCAAACAAAGCCAGGCAAGTTATTTTTCAAATAAATATTATTAAACAGAAACCATACGACTATTGTCATTCAAAATAGATCTCTCAGTTGAATTTCAGCTCTTTGGTGCTTCTACAAAATTCTTAGCTAACGAATAACCAGCAAGCCTTTTATTCAAAGGAGGATGACAAGAGGAGCATGGTAGAATTTACTGAAGTATAAACGGACACAGGCAAAATCACGAAGACTTGCTTCATCGACCTTCGGTGGAGCAGCATGACCGGTATGTATTGCTTATAGGTTAAACAAAACTCTAAATCGTTTTAAAATTAACATTTTGCAACTAATACTCGTTTGTAGATAGACGTGAGATTGGAACAACCCACGCACTAATTTTCCGTGAGTAATCCAATGAACTTAAAAAAATAAATATTTTCGTTTATTTCAGAAATATCACCACATCTGAATAACTGCGAGGGTAAATCAACTTTAAATGATACAGCTAGGCGAGTGCCAACTTTCCGCGTGCGTTTCATTTTGGTGTCTTCCTCACTATCTGAGAGCCTGAAACAGACTATTGCAAGCAAGACAAGTCCTGATGATGAGTTCTCCTCAACGAGCCAGTGCCTGGAACAGGAAAACTTTTTTGCTGTTAGATAAAAATGGTTTGTAGAACAACAAGGGCTCTGGTAGTTTAAAGAGCATATGCTCCGCTTCAGTCATACAGTTTACACTATTGTATGAAAAAAATGTTTTGTCTAAGTTACAGTGGACGAAGAATTAATTCACTGGCAAGATATTAGTATGTGTAACAAAATGAGCCTAAAGGCTCGGGAAATTATTAGGATTTGGACAAAACGCAAGTGAAATTATTCCCTATACTAATTACACGAGAATACCATTTGATTATACCTATTAATATCATGGGTGACGAATTAATTACGTTAGCAATCGTAAATTTTTTGACATGTTTATCCTTGATTGTATCGATCGAGAACTCCACTCTCTCAATTGTTTAGACCTTAAATTTGGCTTAAGTTCAGAATTTTCAAAATTCTTCGACAAAATACCTGTTAGAATCCTTCTTGATGTGCTCTTTCGGGTGTTCAGGTTTTCTAAAGCGTCTTTTTGTGCCCTGAAATCTTCATTCACGGCATTTTAAAACTTCGTCGCCATCTTGACACTGAGACGTACGGAAGGTTGCCGTTTCACATGTGATTTACAAATTAACGCTGAAATTTCGCGCCAAAATTGAGGAGAAATTCGTCACCTATGATATTACAATTCTTGTTATATCATTGAATCTCATGAAAATTCTTTATTTACTTTGTTACAACCATGTGTATGTTGTAGATAAGCTTAGATAAATTTTTATCTCACGTAATTTTTATTTTTCCTTTCTTTCAAATTCATTAGCGCATTAATGCAAAATACACTTATTAACGGAACAAGACTGCTTTCTCCCGATAATTCGATAGACTTTGTTTTTTCAGACGTCTCTGGAAGAAACGTATTTCACGAATATTCGTCTCCACAGTTGCTTCCTGAGAGATGTTCACTCCACGCCATCTTGACAAAAATGATCAGATTTTGAACACCGTCCATGATGCCTTGCGATCCCAATGTGCACACCGCTTAACACTCACCGAATCACGCCATATCACTTGTCTGAAGGCTAAGAGACCAAGTGTTACGTTCCATGTCTCGCAAAGAAAATGTATGGGATGGCCAAAACCAACCTTAGAAACATAGCCAAAACCATGCAAAATGAACAGCAATTCCTCTTGTTATTTTAGTCACGTAAGACTTGTCCGGAAATTCGAAAAGCCACAAACAATACACAACTTGATACTCCTCCGGAAATAAGGCCTTATGAAGTCACTTCCAAACCGAAACCAGCTTCGTTTGAACTGTCATTCGTCTCTTCGCTCCACCCCCCCCCCCCCCCCCCCCCCCCCCCCCCCCCCCCCCTCCCCCGCCACAACCCTCAGGCCAGCATTATTACTGTTAACTTTAAAAAAAAAAAGACAAAAAATAGTACAAATAAAAAGTAACAATCACGACTCCCCCCCCCCCCCCCCCCCCCCCCCCCCGACGACATTTCAGCTCTCGTAACGCATAAGAATGCGATGTCGAATTAAAGCTTGTTAGACATCAAGAAACGACCGAGGGAAACTTTGAGAAATCAGAGATCACTTCTCAAACGTCTGGTACAAGCAAGAGAGAGTCTAGCAAGTTTACAGTGCTTTAAAACGTTATAATCTTTCCAAAAGTAGAAGACATGAAAACTCCTCTAATCTATGATATCACAATTGTTATTATATCATTGAATCTCATGAAAATTCTTTATTTCCTTTGTTACAACCATGTGTATGCTGTAGTTAAATTTTTATCTCACGTAATTTTTATTTTTCCTTTGTTTCAATTAGTATACATTACCATAACCAGAAACAGAAGAAAAACAAAAATTACCTGAGATAGAAAATTAACTGCAACATGTACAAAGCCTTGTTTTGCAGTCTTGTGAGATACATGCAGTATTCCAGTTTAAATTTGCTATTAATAATTTAAGGAAGCAAGGCTAAGTGTTCAGTCATTTCTTAAGCTGCTTTGAATACTTGTATTAAGAAACATAATTTATTACGAATTTTTGACTTTCAATGTTGTATAATAACCTTTTATATGAAGTTGTCAACTGCGTTGTTGTTGTTGTTTGTAGAGAACGGTTAACAAACCATTAAAAGTGTCTCGGAAGACTATTCATTTGTGAGGTGACTGTAATTCATTACTATCAGTTAAAACAACCATTTTGTTTTTCTAACCCATGTGGAACGCTTAAAGCCGTCACCTCTTGACTATTTTAAATGGTTACCATGCATTCACATATTCATCACCAGAACCCCAAAAAACTGGTTTTACTATTATTACAAAAAAAATGGTTATTATAACTAAATCTGAATGAGTTGAAAATATTTCTCCTTTTATTTCGGTTACAACAACTAAAAAATTAAAGTAGTTTAACCAACACGTACAGGTTATAACAAACAATGGGCCATTTGCACGATGACGTATTTTTACTACTAAGACCAGGATTCATTTCGTTTTTCCTTTCATATTTAAATTTGGTCGTCCCGGTGAGGTTTAAATAACAAAAGTCTTAATTTGCACAAGAAAGCAAAACCCTGAAGGATTCTGGTCGTAGTAGTAAAATGACGCCATAGTGCAAATGGCCTGTTATTAAATATAATGGGAAGCGGCGTGGGTTGTGGTAGGGATGACCATTTGTTAGGGTTAATGTAACCCATAAAGAAAATCGACAACAGTAAGTGTCCGCGTTAGCGTTGGAATGTCACTGACATTCTATTAGAGACTGTACACTTTGTATTGGACATATAAAACAATATTTGACGCCATTCGTTTTTTGACGTAAAGCAGTTCTTATCTAATGTCGCGAAACAGGTTATTACTAGTAATAGTTGGCAATACAGCTGCCCCAGCTCTGTATATTGTCGTCAATAGTATTCTTGGTCGTTGTGTAGCTCTTTGAAATATAGGGATTCATTAAAAAGCTTTTGACACATATTCTAGACAATAGGTGAGATAAAAACAGGAAACGCAAGGTTCCATGCACTGATTCAGTTCGATTTAAACAGTTTTGATCAAAACATTCCCAGTTCGAGAATAGTTTATTCTAAACCATAAGAGATGATTAGAAATTGGAATTTTTCGCTATTCCACTTTCATTTTTTACATAAAATTCATTCTATTTGCCGGAGTGTAAGCCGTAGAAATTCAAATTAAAGGTTTGATCAACTCACGCTTGCGCGGTCTAGTCTTTTTGCGTTCTCGTACCTCGAAC